AAAAAAATTCGAATACGGTACCCTTCTAAAGGGGACCCCTACACCACCACCTTGCGTGAAAGAGGCCACCCTCGAATACCACTTCTCCCTACCACCTTTATTTTTATCAACACGGTTGTTCTGCAGTATTCGATTCTGAACCCAGATTTCCTCGAGGTAAGCAAACCAGCCCTTTTGGCGTTTCTGCTGGGGCCGTATGCTGAATGTTGGGGAGGGGATGGGGTCCCCGAGGTCGACGGACTACTTCAACTCGGTCGGTACGGTAGGAGAGTGATGACGAAGTGGTGCAGAAGGGCTGGTTTGCTCACCCCAGGACTAAGCCTTGGAGAGAGGACGGACCTGCGTCCTCTCTTTAAGGCTTAGTCCTGAGGTAAGCATCCAAATTGTGGCGGTTCTAAGGACCGAGTTGAAGTAGTCCGTCGACCGTCGGGGACCCCATCCCCTCCCCAACATTCAGCATACGGCCCCAGCAGAAACGCCAAAAGGGCTGGTTTGCTTACTTCGATTTCCTCCATGTCTGCCGTCGAGCAGGAACGGAGGGAAGAGAGATGTAAATATGATTAAAGAGGCGGCGATTGCTCCAATTTCGCCTTTTAGTGCCTTCTGCATGAAATTTTGCAAAATTTGTCGAGAAAAAAATCAGAAACTACCTGTTCTCTTCTTCCACGTCACGATACCTCAACATACTCCACCACAATCCCTTCTGGAAATCTCAAATATGGCCCCCCTTACCGCAGTCACAAACAAAAACTAGAAACACTACCCTCCCACCCCCCCCCCATTTAGAAAACGATCCATTCGGTGAAAAATAACAAACAGACGGTTCACCTCAGTTAGGACTGCAGCATTGAGCGTTTATTACGTAATTGAAATAGCACCTAGTTGTAATCAAGAACTGGCTCCTTGTTACGCTTGAAATAAGGATTTCGTTTTTCATACATTACAGTGAAATACACTGCTTACTCTTAGAGAACATTTTACCATTTGTACATGTAGCGCTGTGCTTCAGCAGGCTTCCGGCTCGGTGAGTAACGACTACACGTTGTAGTCAAAGTTATTCACCTCATTATGTTACTACTTACTCAGAATCGTAAAGACAGTAGTTAGTCATCTTTACGAATCTGAATTGGAACCGAACGAATGTGCAGATAGTCTTTTCATTCACGCTTCCACTTTCCATCACGGCTGTCGACTGTTCGTTTCGTTTGGTGCAACAGCCCGTTAGTTTAAGCATGCTATGTAAATTGTTTGGGTCATCCGTCACTCCCGGTCACGATCACGGAGGCTGCGTCACCATCTGTCATCAGTATAGCCGAAGTGATTCAATCATAGTGATCATATTACAGTGCTTTCTAATCCCTCTGATGATTCGGATACTATTCAACTCCATGTGAGTGTAGGACTACACTGCATAACGTCGTTCCACCTGAAGTGCAACGCCGCGCAACCAACTGCTGTGCAACCTTGTCGGACCGTGGAGGTGCAGTTTACGATGAAAAGGCAGCGAATCAGAAATCAAGGTAGACCTGGTTAATAGTGCAAAGATGATAAGAAATTCATGAGAAGTTGTCCAGAACCCGGAAATGAGATCCCTTCCTAGGCGATGATTTCGCGTTGATCTCGTTGTTACTGTCCTCTTCAGGTAACTTCTCTCTCTGCTAAACGGCTAGAATCAGACGACGAGGGGATGGGCGGGCAGCGGCGCGGGTGTGGCCCGGTAAGCCGCTAGGGACATAACCTTCACTGCAAGACGCGCATCGTACTGCAACCGTAGAGATTCGCCTTCCTTTCAAATGAATCTTCCCCTTCTTCGACCTCAGACTTTATCGTTGAACCTATTTTAATTTCGAGAACGAAATCTAATGGCTCAGTGTTGACCGGTCGCGCTGGTATACGCCATGTACTGCGTCCTC